TGAATCTCACCGGCTTATCCTTGGCCAACTCTTGCAGAAATTTCTCCATGGTGGGTGCATCAACCTCCCAAATTGGAACCACATGCTGCGGCTGACGCGACGTAGTAGCAGTTGCTATCTTCACTTCACTGAGTATCTCAGGTAATGCTTTCCTCGATTTCTTTACACAGTACCAACAGACTGCAACAATGATCCCGAGAAGTACCAAGTTCGCAACAATCACTGCAACAATTAACACACGTAATGCCATTACTATCAGTTTTTGGAAGGATAGTTTTCAATCGAGCTGTTTTAATCAAGAGTACGAACTTACCAATGGCTATGATCCCTGTGAAGTTTTTAGTTGCCTCATTCATTTGTTTTTGAGCAAAATTATTTGCCCCATTGAAGGGGTCCTCATCAGGGGGAGGGGGTGAAAAGAAAGACATTATTGAAGCTTGATTAATTCTCTGAGAATTCTAAGATCATCGAAGTTATATATAGTCCGTTCCGCAGATGAAATTAAGAACGGAATCAGCGATGAAGTTTCGTTCCTCAATTTCATGCGTTCAAGTCAATGTGCACGCCATAGTGATTGGATTACGCGTAGTGAACAATAAGCAGGCCTTTGCCGATCAAAAAACACGATAAGTTGGCCTTTGCGGAATGCTGCAGCTTTGGACTTTGACTGAAAGTTGATTAAAAATGAAGAAAAGAAAATTACTCCCTCTGCTCTAATTTTATTAGTCTTAATTTAATTTTAATTATATATAAAAATTAAATAATTTATATAAATAATAACTAAAATTTTTTTCTATATGTAATTTTAATTGAGTATTTTTTATTTAATTAAAAATTTTAATTATTATTATATAATAAGGCAAATTTTTATAAAAAAATTTATGTCTAAAAAATAAAAATAAATTAAATTAAAATTATTAAAGTTGAATACTAAAAATATACTTATTATATGCATGATTGGGATATATTGTTATTATTAAATGGCCAAGTCAAAGATTATAAAGAAATGGTCAAGTCAAATTAGTTTTCCGTGTTAGAATATTATGAGTCAACAGGCATGGAATTTTCTTGTGTTTTTTAAGAAATTGACAATTATACGCGTACACACTTGATGCATGTATATCAGAGCAGAATTATTAATCAGAATAGAACTCAGTTAGGTTATGTTTAGGAACGTGAATTTAAATTTGATGAGTGTAATTAAAATATATGTATTTGAAATACACATATTTAAAATATATGTATTTTAAAATATATTATCTAGATTAAATTAAAAAAATAAATTTTAAATATATATATTTTTAAATATATTATTTGAATATTAATCAAAATAGAACTCAGTTAGGGTCTCTGTATTTAGGGTAATGTAATTTTCTCTAGCCTTTTTCATGAATTGTTTATGAAGATGAATGTGATGAATGGCAAGGCTTTCCATGAACAGTGGATAAGTCAGTGAGGACCATATGATATTACATTAACTAAATTCATCACCTGCTAGTCTTTTAAGCTCATTTGATTTTCTTTTCCATTTTTGGTTTTTTTAGCGACTAGGTGTTTCTAATTTGATTACACTTGTAGGCTAATTTCTTTCTTATTCAATTAAAGAAAAGTCATCCTTGTTTGATCTACAAAATTCATGAACCTTAGTTAACAAAGAAAAAGTAAACCCCTTATATACCAACTAATAAATCATGAAAAGTTATGAAAAAAATAAACATCTTAATATTAAAAATATTAAAATGTTTAATCTTAGTTATAAGATAAATAAAATATAATATAAATAAAAAATAATATAAATCTCACTTAAATTTTATTTATTATGTAATTAAAATTAAATACTTCAATATATTTTTTTAATTTTTAATATTTTAATATTTTTAATACCCAAATATCGTGAATTTTACTCTCTCTTCTTTTTTTTTTTCTCATCACAATTACTTAGATTAATCTTTTAAGTTGAAAAACAACTCGTGACGATTTGATGTCAAGACGGTCCAATTTCTAAGTCGATACAACGGCTGGGCCCAAGTAGGTAGGGCGTTTCATCTAACGCCGGCCCATATACATCCTCGGAACGAATGTTAAAATCTTGTCTGTTCTTCGTCTTCATTTTCATTTCGGTCCATTGAACTTGAGGCCTATTGGGTTTCTTAATGGGCTACTCTTTGACTACAAAGTACAAAGCCCACCCTTTGGGCCAACCCGTGTAGCATGTAATGGTCGGATATAGGAAATGGGCCTGGATGGCACCGTTTCGCCGACTACGAGCCGCCGTCATATAAACCTCTCCGTTCGACTGACGCCACAATCCCGTCTTCCCTAAAACCAAACTCTGTTTAGGTTTCTCTGCATTTGGGCAATTTCTGAGATTTTATCGGAGGACGAAGAAGGAAGAATGCCGGGGTTAACTTGCAACGCATGTAACAAGGAATTCAATGACGATTCAGAGCAAAGACTTCATTACAAGTCCGATTGGCACCGTTACAATCTCAAGCGAAAGGTATTGTCTTTTCAATCCTTTTGTTTTCCGGTTCTTCAATATGGTGTATGGAATATGGATTTCCTTTTATAGGTCGATGTTGAATCATTGAATAGCTGAAGAATCTGAATTTTTATGATGTTTTGAATGTGGATTCTTCATATAAAGGTGTTTGGTTGATTTTTGGGTAAAAAGGGGTGGAGAGATGGTAGGTATAATTTAATG